TAATGTTATCAAACTTATTTGCATCAGCATGATCACTGTAAGCAGCATCTACTATACTAGTGAAATGAATCATTTTTAGATGCAGTGCATCATTTTTATCACTTACATGTATTTCCACCATTGATCATCGAATGGAGAAGTCACCTGATTTTTGCATAATTCTTAGTTGTTTTGCTGAAATTTGTAAATTTTCTTGAGTGTAAGGTGTGGAACTTTATCATTTTGGGAGCAGTGCAGGAGCCTCAGAAAACCAGTCCACATGTTGTCTTTCCGAGAAGAAGCAGTAAGCATTATTCCAGTGATTCAAGAAATTAATGTGGTTTCTTTATAAACATACATTTTCCATAGTAGATGAAAAACTCACTCTTTGCCTTAAAATTGTCCATTTTAAGTGAACCTGTTTTCAATGTTGAGATTATTGCTTTTCAAATATAAAGTCATCTTCAAAATTTGCAAAATCTCTTCTTTCAATTGAGGCCCTAATCAAATTGCTACCCCTCATAACTTTTAGATAGATATGGGTCATTCATATTTAGATTGATTTAGGTCATTCAACTAGAGCCTTCCACTGACTACAGGCTGGCCAGATCACAGGCCATTTATGGTAGAAAATCCTGTTGTCCCTCCATTGTATGAATCTGGTTGAAAATGTTCCATGATTTTTTTAAATATTGCCTATAGGTCGAGGTTATGATCTGTCTATCTGGAGTGGAATCTGACTTATGCTGGTAATCTTGCTGAAGAGGATGGTTTAAAGCCAATGACGAAAGATAATCTGTTGGTGCATCGGAACCTAAAATGATTACAGCGAGTATCAGATTGTCAATAGGTTAAGAGGGCATAGAATTGCATCTCCATGCTCATCATACCATTCTGATATGAACATTTGCTGAATTTATTTTTCTTAAGTCAGGTTGGTTTTTTTTTTTGTTTTTTTTTTTTTTTTTACCAAGAAACTGTGGAGACTGTCTAACTCAAACAAAAGGAGAAGCCTGCAGCCACACAGACTTGATCCTTTGCGTCCCAGGTTTTACATGGGAGCCAGAGTCACACTGCGACCAAAACTGGTTTTAAAAAAGAAAACTGCTCTTTTTTGGTATCCAGCAAATTTTCAGGCCATAAAAAATGTTGCACTCATGGATATCAGACAGGTATAACATTGCTTCATGTGGCAGTTGTGTCCAAAAGCCTTCTTACTGTCTTTCCAACCAATGAAGCTTTCTTTTATTGATTGGTGCAATCAGGTTTGGCATCAAAAGGAATAGCATGAAGGTGTAATTCAATGCTTCTTTTAAAGAGCAAGTATATTGTATGTTATCCTGCAATAATTCCATGAAATATGTTCAACTTCAATTCAAAGTTTCAGAAAATAGAAAATTCTATTTCAATTTGAAGTTTTATAAGTTTTACTGATTTTGGCTGCCCTGGGAATGTCATAAATGCAGTGGACTAAGCAATGGGAAGTAGATTGAAAAAGGCTGTCTCCTTGAAGGTGATAAGGTGTCATCAGTTGATAAGAAGACAAGGAAGTGTTTGTGTAAAGCTGCAGGTATTCTCCTTCCCCTCTCTCTGCTTCTCCTGGAAGCAGATCAAATTATAAATGTACCCTTATGAGGAATGAAATAGATTTTCTCAACTGAGTCTAAATAAATTGTAAAAATTACTGCAAATGTACATTATGTCCATAGGGTTCCCTTAATGAATTATTTCCCTACCCTAACAGTGAAATTCTAATAAAACAAATTCCAGAGATTTGAAACCTCAGTTTAGTGCCAACGTTCTCAGTAACTTCTAGTTCACCTACTTTAAAGAGGCCATTCATCATCATCTCCAGTAATAACGCTAAGCAGTTGAAGATACAGTTAGCACAAATGGGGTGTGAAGATTGATCCATTGATCCTCTACACCGTTCAAACTCTTTTATTACATACAAGATTTTCTCTCATACCTGGAAGTTAATTTTTCACCTTGTAGATATAGAGGGGATTTTTACAATTTGACAACATAATTTTTTTCTTTGCTCTCGCACTTTTCCCGGTTCACCAAGGCCCATGCCCTATGTCCATTTGTATATCCTATTGGTCCTTTTTCTGACGAGGATGGGTGTCATTAATTCAAATAATATTGGAAAGGTGGAGATTGAGATGGTTAGGTACAAGTGAGAGGATGGAATGAAGTGGATGCGACACCGTCTTGGCAAAGAAAGCAGGGGAAGGTGGTGGGTAACATAATCGGGTTTCCCTCTCTCTCTCTCTCTCTCGGATCCACTTTCGTCCCTCCCTCTTCCCCTGTTCCTCCTCGTATGCGTAGCGTATGAAAGGGATAGAGTAACGACTGAAAGAGAGAAGCGAGAGGAAGGAGGGATGCGTGCCAAGGCTCAAGGGAAGCGCCCCCCCCCCTCCTCGCTCTCTCTCTCTCTCTCTCTCACTCCCTCTCCCTCCCTCCCTCTTTCCCTCCCTCCCTCTTTCCCTCCCTCCCTCTTTCCCTCCCTCTCTCTCTCTCTCTCTCTCTCTCGCCCTGGCTCAGCGCGGAGGGAGGAAGGGGAGGCGGAGCGAAGCCATTCGGCGATCTCTCAAAACTCCCTTCCACTCCTCGCAATCTCTTCAGTTCTGCCGTGATTGACGGGGCTGCACATAGTGTTTCCCCCGTCCGCGTCTCTTTCCAATGTCCTCTTCCTTGATCGTAGCATGTGTTTCACGCAATATGTCCTCTTCACGGGATCCTCGTCTTGTCCATGCCGAGATCAGTCACCGTCACGCTGGACGTGGCCGAGAAAAGAGGACTACAGCTTGGTCTATGTCGTGCAAGTACCTGTACATCCCCTATCCAGGGCCAGGCCCATGCTCCTCATGACCATGGGAGCCAGGAATTTTAGTTTCGGATTGGGGGTGTGGTACGTGACCTTCCCTTTAGTGGGCCTCATGAGGCCAAAACCTTCACCCCGGTGTTCCTCTTCTTCGTCTACTTTCCCTCATACTCCTAGTCACAGGTGAGATTGAAAAAGACAGAGAAAAGAGAAACATCTTCTGTATGTATCTCGTCATGTCTCTGGATCTGGGTGGCTAGGACCGGATCATTTTTTATCTTATCTACTGTCGAAGCATACGTTTTTCTGGGATGGAGTAATACAGAGAAGAGAAGGAACAGGCTTCTCCAGGATGGCGAAATCTCCAAGTGCGTGCTTTGAATTTCCATGTTCACCACCACAGTCTTATGACAATCGCCTATCTATCGGAGTCGGAGGAGGCCTGGGCTTAGCTGGAGCAATGTAGGGCATGGGGAGGAGACACACCGGGGAGAGAAGAAAAAAAAAAAAGGTTGCACAATCCAGGGACACAGATAGGCCTCCAAGGACAGCCACATGCTATGTGTCCCATCTCTGGTCCCCTCGCATCCCTTTCTGTCTTCTGAGCAACCTCCATCATCTCAAATGCTTCACATTACGCAATATTTCTTTTTTTTCTTCTCAACACTTAAACTCAATGAAGGTACAGCTGTATTCGTGCTTTCGCGATTTAATTTATACATGTTCTCGATTGGGTATTGCTTCTGTGGCAGTCATGAAAAGTATCACGTAAGTGTCTGCTTATGGTTGGCATTTTCAGTTTCATTTCAAGGACATGCGTGAGCCGATGCTGATCCTTCCTCATCTCCATGTTGACATAATTCATCTTTTCCCCTGGAGTGCGTCGAAGAGGAGGAGCTTGAATCGTGAATAGGATTTTTTTCATAAAGTTGGAGGAGAGGGCTGTCTATGAAAGTAGACCGTGGGGAATCATCAGAAGGGCTTGACGAGTAGGCCTAAGAGCAGAAGATAGCAGCACGTGACATCATCCCACGTTCTGAGATCATGACCTTGACCGTAATATTCTCCCCAGCACGCGTATGAGAATTCAATTCAGGAAAAAAAAAATCGTTTCTCCATTTTCTTGAACGCATTTGGGGACGACTCCGCGCATCTGGGCTAAAGCATTCGTCAACAATACCACTGCGCTGAATATCGGGCTCTTCGACCACTCCACTTCGCTCACATAGTAATTAAAGAAATCGCTTTCGCGAAGTCCGCATAATCACACAACGGTTTTTCCAAACCTCTTCCGAAGGGCGCCGTTCTCAAATATTTTCATTTCGCACATCTATGAATCAGTCATGGTCGCTCTCGCAGCGTAACACGAGCAAGAGAAATAAGATGGTAGTTATGTGCGATGCTGGAGCTATCTCCAGTTGCCTCCACCCTCTTCCCCGCAGCAGCTATGTTTCTCTCAGTCCAATATATTCGCTTATTCATCTCTGTCGATACTGCGAAGTGGTGAGAGCGGGAATTTGCCCGACGTGCTCCCGAGTATTGATGCTAATGGGTGAAAGTGCCCTCTCGTCTTCATTCATTCTCCCAGCTGGATCCTTGCGTCATTCACGGCCCGCGTACGTGCTGGGTGCTTACGTGACCTTACTAATTTTTCTCGTATGCCACGGTTTCTCGTTGAATGTTCCTCGGGGGCCGACGAAAAACTATGAAGGAGCGGAGGAGAGATAGTGTATGTGGGCTGCTGGATGTCCCTGCCACTACTACGCTATGGACCTACAGCGCAGCGTAGGCCTATCCCCCTCTAGACTCCTGAGTTCCTCCCAATCGATCACACATCGATCAATGGTTTCCCCCTCGGAGAAACATCTATCCTTCCCTTCCCCCCTTCCTCTCTCCCCCTTCTTGGAGAGAGAGAGTAGATTGTGTCCTCTTATCCCCTGGCCCAGCTGAAGCGGGGAGGGGCGAAGGGCGCAGGGGAAAAGAGAAAGGCACAAATCCATATATTCCACTTGCTGGGGGTGGGGAATCTCTGGATCGATCTTCTGCAAGTTTCAATAGCCTACCCTCTACATGTTAATGAAGCCCAAACCTCTCCCTTGTACTGCTACCTTGTTAATTCCTATTCTCTTCGTTCCCGCAACCACTCTTATGTCCAAGAATAAGTCACCTTGTACCATTCCGCGCGCTGGGAATAATGCTGTATGAGCTGAAAACGACATGCTCTGGATCCGTATCATTTGTTCTTTTGTAAATAGGTAAAAAAAAAAAAACTGAGAAGAGAAGAAATGCCACTTGGGCATTTAGCATTAAATCGTTATTGTTCGACTTGTACTGGTAGTACTTTTTTTTCACAAGCATGGAAATATAATCAACAGCTTCCTTGGAGGGTCATTCCATCTCATGTGGTAGTTGAGTGAACCATGAAGGCTGGCACATTGCAATTCTTAGGTAGAAAATTTGTGGTGGTTGGATCCCATGAGCACTTTTAAAATGAGAAATGTATCCCCTTAAACCCAAATATTTCCATCTTTGCCATTCCATACTCACCATCAAAGTTAATTGGTATGGTTGCAACATCTCAGCATCTTCTGATCTTGCTGCTACTCTTTAGGTATTGGTGCTAGAGAGCTGGCTACTACACCTGTCTGGTAATTTACATTCTCCATGCAGGAAGATTGTGCAATAATTTTATTACAAGTTCTGGTCAAGAAAGGGTAGCTTTTTGTTTTAATGTATAAATAACTTGAGCCTGTCCATGCTACAAAAAGTTTTGCCTTGGTGAATATCTAATGTTTTTCAATTTCTTGCTAACTCTTTGCCTTTGATGTCAGTTGCAGGAGTTTTATGCACCCAAACTTGTGGCAATTGCTTGGCCAGAAGGGTAGGAATGCCCTGTACTGGTTTTGGAAATGCATGATTATCCTGAAAGAAGGCAAACAATTGTAATACAGTGACTTGACTCAATTTAGACTGCATTGGTATCCTGTATATGTTGATTATTGACTTAGGTAAGAATACTTTTATAATGGTCAATGGAATAAGGGATATGGATCCTGCTTTGTTATATGGGATTTCTTCACATGTTCTTTTCAAACTAAAATTCCTTGTTATTTGCACCTGTTTCAGTTAGTGTTGTCCTTTCCTTTTCTGTAATTGTTGGTCATATCCTTTTCTACTGTGATAGTGAACTGTGTGGGAAGCTAGAAGAAAAAAAAAAAAAACTTTTCAATTGTATACTTTTAATGATGTCCACCATGAAAGATAATATGCCATCAAAGGAAAAGATGAGAACATGCCAATTTGCCAAGAGAAGCAGGAGCAAGAAGTTATTTCTTTAAGTGTGAAGTGAGTGAACTTGTCATAGTGAAGCACAGGCATGCAGTTACTGCCCATCTACCATCAGGTTTCCTACCTTAGGAACTTTGAAAGTCTGAGATTCGTGCTTAACTTGTTGAATATTATTAAAAATTCCAAAATATTATAGATGAGAGGTATTTCTCAAACTTGTGATATAGAAAGCTCCCTAGTCTAGAAGTTAACAAGAGTTAACAAGAGATGGGCACTAGCTCCTGGCCTGTTTGATCACCTCATTCACTTACTTTGAGAAGGAATATATCAGGAATTATAGGGGACCTGAAATGAAAAATTTGGGCTTTTAACATTTTCCATTTACTCCATCTGACACTATTGGCTTTTTTTCATATGGGTTAACAATAAACAGGATGTGAAGTGAGTATTTCTTTGATATATAGGATATGAAAAAGTCCAAAAACTTTTAACCCCTTGAACACACGACACTCACTTGTTTCTCACGATGAGTTCTCACAGGAAAAGTATCACAAGAGGAAGTAAAGTCAGAGGGAATAGCATAGAGTAGAGAACTTTAGCAGAAACAAAATATTATTTTATTTAATACGAAATTCTGGCATATGATGGCAGGATATTGTCTAATACTTGGTGTGTTCAAGGGGTTAACCTAAATATCTCCATTCACGTTGGAGCTATTTTCGCAAAAAATTCACCATATATGCATGAGTTTGTTTCCAACTGATTTTCAAAATTTCATTCAAATTTGTTGGACCGATGTAATACTATCAGAATTATTGCAAAAAGTTAACATTGAGAATGGACAAGAACTCCTACTGGTAGTGGAGTGGAGGAAACATGCAAGCATTGTCCTTCCTGGTCATCAAAATCACTTCAAACTCCTCTTCGATTTAAATTCATTCTCTGGACTGGTTGCCTCTTGCATCATATCCCAGATTTGCTACAAATTTTGCATGTTTTCATTTATTTGAATGTCAACAAGGCTGCCAAATCTAAATATCAATTCAAGTCTATGTTATGAGTACTGTTCTCTGTCAAGTCCAACATTTAAATATGGACAATTCTTAAAAAAAATGAAGAGATATTCTGAATATAATATGGGAAAACTCCTTGGATCTCATTGGAGATGGAATCTCATTGATTCATCTGGTATTGTACCCTGGCTGTAGTTGAGAAAGAGGTTTTTCAATTTGGCAGGACTGAACAATACCTAATTTGCAATGGTTCCAGGTACAAGAGAAGAGTGATCTACAATACACGTCAGTCTTCAGCTGGTGGTGGTGGTGGAGGAGGAGGAGGAGGTGGTGGTGGAGGAGGCAGTGGCAGTGGAGGTGGAACAGGATCGAGCTTGGTATCAGGGAATCCACACAGAAGAATCCACCATAACCGATCATCCTTGAAACGATGCCCTTCCCTTCCCCTATCCCCTTGTGATCACCTACACTATCCTCATCACCGACATTCATCTAGTACTCCTTGTGGAGCTGCTACTGGTACTAACATACTTCATCGTTCTCCAGTCATGGGAAATTCCTTTCCCAACTCATCACAGAAGGTCACAGGTATGACATTGCTAGTCACTTCCTGTAAATTATTTGACCTACATTTTCAATTTCCATGAACCAAGTTCTAATCAGACACACATCCCGCTTCTTGCATATGTGTAGGAGCTGTTAGAACATTTGGAGATGGAAAGAGCAGACGAGGTGGAATGTTTGGAGCATGGGGTCGCTATGGGTGTACATGCAAAGGTTGTTTGGGTCGGGGAGATTTCTTCCCATTTTCTTTCAATCACCCACCTCGATTAGAGATTCTCTTGGACATGCCTCCTGTTCCCCCTGACATACAACTCAAGCACGCCTGGAATCCCAATGATCGATCTCTCAATATCTTTGTGAAGGTATGTGACACATTTCAGGTGCCTTCTATCCTTTGGACACTAACACCCATCATGTGTATTGACCTTTGGTATTCCTTGAATTCTCAAGTTATTGGAAGTTATGTTTTCATTTTAGTACCATTAGAGTCCATAATTTCAATATGACTGAAGAACATGTAGTCATCTGAACCATTGTAGAGTATCATTTTGACCCATAAGTGAAATTCTTTGGTCTGTAACTCCCAGTGAATACCCAATTCAATATGGATTTCCTAAACTTATCTTTATAATTTTGGCTTTGGATTAATTGGGTAGGTGGTATATATACATTATCTTGGCTTAAATGAGGGGTATCCAACTGGTGGCCCATGGGCTGGATCCAGCCTGTGAAGTCCTCTCTATCATTTGGTTTCAGAAAGTCACTGTCCACTTTTAAAATTTAAGATGAGATAAATTATAATTTGATAGTTTCCCCCCCAACCAATTTTTTATATTCTGGCTCCCATCCTGATCAAATTTGACACCTCTGGTGTATATTAACTGCCATTTCAGCTGAAAAGCCATTTTTAAATGTTAAAGGTAAGAGCATTTATGGGATGGAATGAGTTAAGGCCATGTTTACTGCAGACAGAATTTTAATTGGGTCTACCCACATTTGGAAAGTGAACCTTAGTGAGACAACCAAGCCCAAATAACATGCTAAGACTTTTGAGTTAGAAAATAATTGTTCAGTTTTCAATTCATGCCTACACCTGATTGTCATTCTATGGGGTGAGCTAGACGTAATGACTCACACTTTCATACACTCTGGAACAATTACATATTTTTTCATAAAAGAACTCGGATTGGATAGTCAGCTTACACGCAAGACAATTAACCCTTTGGTTGCAGCTATCTAGTATACTGGACAGTTTCTGCCTGCTTGTAGTTGTAGTTGCTTCTAGATGCTGAACAGTTCCGGCATATGACAGTCTCAGCCTTTTTTGTGCAAAATTCCTGTAACTCTTCCTGAGTTATAGTGCTTTATTTAAAGTGCAAGCCATCGCTTCTGGCTCACCCTGTAGTGTTGTCTCCTGTCACTTCTGAAATAACCCTTGCATGATACCGCATAAGTTGCCTTCTTGTATGGCAATATGTGATATTTTGTATAAGGACAATATATGCTATATTTTCCAAATTTTTTAGGTTTGAAACATTTTCCCAAAACTTTGAAGATTCTTTATACCCTGAATGAGGCTTTGTGCCTCTGTAATGTCAATTTCAAATCTTTATCAACCCTTTTAGTGCCAGGCATGTTTTCACTCAAAACAGAGTATTTCTTGAAATAATATCTGCACACTTTTATTTTACATTCTCCAGCTGACTACTGTTTATCAAAAACATAGAGGTGGAAGTAGAGGTCAACCAAATTCTACTGGTACACAAAGATTGGCCTCTGTTGGCTCTTAAAGGGGCCAGGAGTGTGGAAAGTTCATGGCCAAAGTATTGGCCTCTGGTACTAAATGGTGTTAAAGTGACAGGTTGTAAGTGTTCCTTATTTTGTCTGCCATATTACATTCCTTCACTCCTGTATCCATGTGGATCTTGGTTGGCAGAAAGGCTACAGTTTTGTGGGCCTCTTCCATCTATATTCCTATGCCATAATAGGTATTGAACTTATTACATATGTAATTGTTTATATTCTTATTTGAAATTGTTACATGGGCCCCTTCCTGAACTAATTATTTATTAAGCAGACAAGACATCTTGAAGGTACTTTTGAGGGATACCTTCAAAGATAGCTATGAGAGTTAGACCATCTCTAATGACCTCAAATGAAATCTATCTCTAATGTTGGAAATGCATACATCAATGCTGGTAAGGTTAGTGTGATGGGAATGTGGGCCTTTATTAAAAACTATAATTTTGCTGCCATCATGCTACACCTTCCTTTACAATGGAATTAGCCACATATGAGAAGTTTCTTGTCTTTCAGGGAAGGATTCCAAGCTTTGAGACCCATTTTCTTTAAATGAATTCAGTACTCACAATACCATGATATCCCAAACCGTATATGAAAGTCTTCCCTTATAAGTTTGGAGTGTAATAGAGTCTGATGAGCAGGTCCATACCAATACTCAGAGTAGGACCAGCTGTATTTCAGAAGTTATTGGAGTAAGCTGCTGTTCCTTGAAAAAGATCTGATACATGCCTTTCTGAATACCCCTTCTTAATATATTTATTATTTGTTATGTGTGATGAAACCTAGTTTATTACTAGGCTTGTCACTCATTGGCAGAATGCTCAATGTTGTTCATGAGACAGACAGCGGGGGACTCAGGTGGACTGGGCAGAGTGGCAAGGTGGCTGGGATGGATTCTTATCTAATCTTGCTTTAGAAGCTCTGTTGAGACCTAAGGGACTGAGAAATAATCATGCCCATTGTCACTGACCTTAGCAGACCACCCATCATGATTTCTTTTTGAGCATACCAATGTACTATGTAGCATCTATCCAGAAAAAATAGATCATGAATAATAAAAAAATTTGAGTTAACAGATGATTGGAAATATTTGACTGATGATATTTGACATCACCTCATTGAGCAAGTCAGCTGAATGCCCAACTTAAAAAAAAAATTCTCGATTGGTTTTAGGTGAATTAGGTGATTGAACTGCCCTAGCTATCAACTTTCCTTTGGATCTGTATATTCGATGCTGGTCAGTCTGGTTCCACCATCCCTGTGATTGTGCACCTTGTGCAAGTACTGCATAGAGTCTCATATGCCATATATGTGGATACTCTCCAATATCCTGTGGGACTGACTACAGAAGGCTGACTTCTCAGACAATGTGTGCCAATTTCTTGAATGTTTTTTAATGCAGATATCTATAAAGGCCTTGCCACCTGAACCATATAGCTTGGCCAAAGTTTGTAACAAATTCTAATATTGCAAAATTATATTATTTCCTATTAAGCCAAATTTGCATTCATGTTTTTTTTAAATATCAGCTATATCAACTCAATGGGACTGCAGTTGAAGCAAGATGCAGGATGTTCATCCTATGTTCTTGGACTGAGGCATTGAACACAAGCTTAGCAAGGCAGGACACCAGACCTCGTGAAAGATCTTTGGTGGCTTAGTCATTCCTTGTTATAGGTGTTTTTGTCTGATCTCTTGCTGGCTAGGAGACATTTACTTCTGGGAGCCTCTCAGAGGCATGCAACAGATGTATCCAAACCACTGGACAAATATGTGACACCAGCCATCCAACACAAGAGCAGCATTTCAGCAATTTGTATCTGTGATCTGGTTCATTTGATCATTGCTCAAAGTTCATCATAGATGAGGGTAGGGAGGCACTCTTTAAAACCAACCCTGAGTTCTTATATGCTGTTTTTTCTGCTAATGAACTATTACAGAAGAGGATTCAAGTCCATTAGTAGCTAATTGGAAGCTCAAGAACTCATCCCAAGAGTTTTCCATTAGTGCAAAAACCTTATGTGACAACTATGGAATTTACACAAACTTGCTTTTTTGACTCAATTTCTCTTGCTTACCAAAATGGCAAGTCCCCAAATCTTATATATTGTAACTGGCAGTGTACAGAAATGCATTTGTGGGATTTAAAAAAAATTATATGGCTCTATCCAGGTGTCACATCTGAGTCAGATCAGAGAAGGAAGCACTAAGCCAATTTTGATGGATATTTCAATGTTCTTGTGCTTACATGCCAATACTTATTACAGGAGGACGATCCTCTTACGTTCCATCGACATCCAGTGGCCCAGAGCACGGACTGTATCCGAGGCAAAGTTGGCTATACTAGGGGCTTTCATGTGTGGGAATTCCACTGGAGCACAAGGGAACGAGGGACTCATGCTGTGGTTGGAGTTGCTACTATGAATGCTCCTCTGCACTGTGTTGGCTATCAGAGCTTGGTCGGATCCACATGTGAATCTTGGGGGTGGGATCTTGGCCGAAACAAGCTCTATCATGATGTCGACAACAATCCTCCTCGTACCTATCCTTCCACGCTCAACAATGACGAGAACTTTGTTGTCCCAGACACCTTCCTCAGTGAGCCTCTGCTTCCTGAGCCATACTGATTGTGTGGAGATGACATTTATAATTCATAATTTTCCTTCCCCCTCACCCAGTGGTGCTGGACATGGAGGAAGGGACATTGTCATTTGTGGTTGAGGATCAGTTTCTTGGAGTTGCTTTCCGAGGTCTCCGTGAGAAGAAGCTCTTCCCTGTGGTCTCTGCTGTATGGGGACACTGTGAAATCACTCTTCGGTATCGAGGGGGACTTGACCGTGAGTTTCCTTCTTTTTTTTCTCATCTCAACTCCCAGCTGTACTGAAATTCGTGTTTTTTGTGCATCTACAGCCGAGCCTCCACCACTGATGGACTTATGTCGCAGGGCCATCCGCAAGCAACTATCGAGCCACAGGGATGTAGAGAAGGCTGTAACACAGCTTTCACTTCCAACAGCCATCCAAGACTTCCTACTCTTCCATCACCGAAGATAGGCTACTCTGTCAAGTGCAAGGAAGTAGGAAAAAAGAAAGGGTGGGGGACACTGACACTATGGAACACCACTGTCTTCATCAACTTCATCCTTGTCTTGGTTCTGAGCTCTTTCTCATGACCCTGGTCTCGTTCTTTCTGAGTGTACCCATATCTGTGATGTGCCAAGGGAAACCAGTCCCCCATCCACCTCCATGTGATAGAGGGGAAGTCGTCTCTTTTTCCCTTCTTCCAGTCTCATGTTTCTGTTCCCACATTGAGCAGCATTGGCTGTCCACAGGGTACAAATTTTGAGAACAAGAAGTTTCATTTTTCTCTTTGCATTCTGGTATGCCTTTTAGTTTTTCATGTGCAAATCAGAGAACATTGTGTATTTTGCCTGGAATTTTTTTCTCCATGACAGAAGGAAGATTAATGTCTTTTCTAATGGCACATGCAGTGGTTTTTTTCTCCCACCCCCCCATCTGTTTGTATGTCTACCTCATGAAATCTTCCTGTTTCCATTTGGAAATGATAATGAAACAGTGACTTCTTGGCTTTTCTTTTGGAGCTGGCAGAAGGGCATTGAAATCAGATCTTTGTTGGTTTTTTTTTTTTTACTCAAATTGTCACCCTGGCCCTGGATTGAACAATGGAACAGTTTCTTTTATTTTGCATTGGCATCTGTATTTTGCTTCAGTCTTTCTTCCCCTATCATGCAATAAGTCATTCATGGTCAACAAGGAAATACATCTCAGCATGTGTGCCACTCCCTGAATATGATGACAATGTGGCACCACAATCTGGGAATATATCCAACTTCATCCACTGCAAGCCCTGATCTTCTTTACCAACTTCTACCGCTTTTCCCTGTCTTTTTTCTTCTTCCTTCTCTTCCCTTCTTCTGGTGAGGCTCTTGACATCTTTCTCTTGAGCTGCTTTTTATCCCTCCTCTTCCGTTCACAACTACTACTGCTGTCAGTCTCCGATTTCACATGTTCCTTTTTCTTCCTCCGCTTCTTCATCTTTCTCTTCTTTTCCTTCTCCATTTTCTCCAATTTCCTATAAAATCAACACCATATTGACATATTTTTCATATGAAAGTATGCTGTTGCTCAAACTTAAATATTAATTGATTATGCTTTTATGTAAACCACCCTACCAGAAGGATATGAGATAATGGTTTTTCTTTAACCCTCTTAGTGTCACACAGCTGATCCATAGGCTTGATTGACTATATATAGCTCCCATGGCACTAAAAGGGTTACACATAAACATGGTTCTAGAAACAACACTTTTTTAAAATACAAAGTAACCATAAATCAAAAGAGGCTATAGGGGCCAATGTGCACCTGCTATCAAGAACTTGGTGTAAATGTCCACAATCCCAATAGAGTATAATGATCAGAACTATGAATGTACTGAGGTCATTCAACTGAAAGCAGCAAAACTCAACAAAAAATAGTAATCTTCATGACACCATATATAAATCTAAGGTATATTGGTGTAGTGCTGAAATTGCAATTGGCACCACTGCCTGCAGGAGATCACGTGTTGTTATCTGATTAGGAAAGGTATTGGGCAATGGACAGCATATGCAAAACCATCTGATCCTCTTCACTGATTGCTTGCCATTTAGGGTGAGACATGTTTGTCCTCAAGAACAATCAAACTTTGGTGTAATGCCACTATTGGTCATTGACTTTGGTGCTACTTTGATACTGAAACCTCTGGACAAATTTACTAAATGAAGCTTATACTGCAGTCCTTATCCCCCCCTTGATTCTCTAGTCCTGTCCCTTCGATTCCATGGCTATGATTCAATTAACAGTGGGTACATATATGTAGCTGTGTTTAGTTTTGGATAAGGGTTGTGCAATGTACACTATGATGCAAATGTGGTGGGGACAAACCCAGATTCAGATGAGCCAATGACATAACAGATAATATCAAAGGATAGACAAGGTGATTTGGGGGAACAGACACATTTCTTAAGGTCATAACTCCAGAAATAGGGATAAGCCATGAGTCCACATGAGTACACAATCCATTTGATACATACCAAAAGGATACTAAAGACCAGAAAAAAGACTGCATGGGTCTATGCCTTGTACATTTGTAGCTTGACTGTGCTAAAGGGGACATTTTTTGTCCAGAATTGTAGGATGTGATCAAAACCTGGAGTCATTTTAATGATGAGACCCTATGAAGAGGACATTGAGGGACAGGCAACATCACTTGGAAACTGAAGTGTTAAAAGCAGAACAAGGTGCCACCAAACGCCAATGTTGTTTTACAACAGCACCATAAAAAATCGGGCTGGGCAATGTCTCCAAGTCCATGGATAGTGATTTCAATAAATGCTACATGTGCATATATTTTAATATTACGTGCTGTTTTTAATTGATAGGCCCCAATATTTTAAGCCCTGATTTAACTTACAAAGACATTTGGATGATTTTGGACAGTGCAGGAAGACTTCCCACAATGGTATCAATGAATGAAAAACCAAATTCACATCTGGTTTTTTTAGTGGGCCTCCTTTCCTGAAAGAAAAAAGACCACTTATGGTCCCATCATGCCCATCAATATGTTCATGTGTCACACTTTGGTTGTCCAATGCAAAAATTGGCAAGCAGGTAGATACAAACATGGTACAGGCTGAGTTTGTTTTGTGGCGAATTTACCCCAAAATTGCCATTTTTAACATCAATTTTGGATTTGAAATTTACTAATGGGGGGAGGGGGGGAAGGCATGAGTTCCTGAGAGCCCTTTAGAATTTGGACCATAATGCACATGCACGTAAGATCCAAGCCTTCGGCACGATGCCATGTCCCCAACCAGTGCTGTCAGTTCTCTACTAGCCTTTGTGGCAGATGGATCAAAACATGCCCAACCCTCCATCCTCCCATCATCAATTCATGTGTATCATGGGTAAATTTGCCAAATCTAACTGAGAAATGAGATATTTTATCTTGTGGACTGGAAAGAGATAGCATTTTGTTCAAGTAGGTGACAAAATGAGAGTCTCCTTAAATGAGACCCACTGTAGGACTGGGCTTGTCCATCTTGTTAACTCTTTCACTACGTAGTAGAATTAATATGGGTTAGGGAGGACTAGCTGCTGTGTGAAAAAAGTCTACCACTGCAGCGAAAAGAGTTAATTTATTGCAGCCTCTACCTCAACAGACTCTGAAATGATCCATCAATATGGGTAAAAAGAAGGCAAGAAGCAAAATTTACATGGGCGCTGAAGGGATAAACCTACAGCTGAGCTTGTTGGACATGGATGCCAAGAACTAGCAACACAGGTGAACTGTTACATCCACAGACTAATTTCTGGTTACTAAAGGCTCCCATGTCCAACATGACCTTGACAGTCATCCTCACTGATTTCCTACTTGAAATCATCTTTTTCCATCTCCAATCTCTCCATCCTGCATGCCTTCGTGGCTAATAGAATTTGCAAACTGGAAGGTCTCCGAGTATGGTGCAAGTAGAGAACAGCAAAAGGAAGGTGTCAGGATTACTTAAAGAGAAACTAGTCATAGCTATATCATTAACTTACTGAAAATTGTAACTATTTTACAGTTCTAAATTGCAGTTTCCAGTCTATAAGTTACAAAAATTACTTTCTCCTTATAATTTGATGTAATCAAACCTGGTATCCAAGCATAAATGGACTCAAGGTCTCAGGCCGAAACCTGAACCTGGCTATGTCTAAATGTTTGCATCTTGAAAAGAATCTCGATCTACAGGTCATTTTCCATTATTTTTTTGCTCATCCAGAAATAAATATATTCAGAAAATGAAAAAAAATAGAGTAATTACTTTCAATTCATGCTGGTTTTCTTAAATTAATGTTGATTAAGAGAAGTATTAAAATATGAACTTAAAAAAAAAAAGTAATTACAAACTACAAAGAATCATTGTCACAGGAAAAAAGATATCACAGGCACTCATTACTTCCTAGTAATGTTCTCAGGAACAGTAACTTACATGGGTGGCTAAAAAAAAAACAAACTTTTGACTTCAACATGCTGTAAATCAGGCTACTGTGCCTTGATTTGAGTAAGCTTTTAGGCATACATGAAACAACTCTTGGAAAACTGCTGCAACATTCCCCAGCTGCCATTTGAGTTGGAGCAATGACAGCCATTGTTATTAAGAACACATTTTATTTCCTGTATCAATGTTTTAAGAGGTGTTTCTTCCTTTTCCTGCATATTTTTTTTTTTTACTAGCTCATAGCAATACCAAATTACTCACATGAAGACTTGGTGGTGATCAAGACCTTGCAAGTTTAAAAGGCATGGGAAGCCAGAAAAATGATGAATGAATTTTCTGATAAACAAACTTTCAGGTTGATCCTCCTGACTCAACATGTGTATTTTGACTTCTTCAGAATTCACTTCAGTTCTTTGGGTTCTGGGCCTTCAATTACCTTGTTTTCAAGTTGCTGATCCAGTTTTTAAACTCCCAAAGTCTTCATGCAAGTAACTCAGCATTGCTTTGCTTTAGTAAAAAAATATGTGGAAGAAAGAAGAAGCATAATGACATTGAAACATTGATAAAGAAGAAAAAAAAAAGTGCTCTTATTAACAACAGCTGTCACTGCTCCAACTCAAATGGCAGCCGGGTACCATCACAGCAGTTTTCCAAATGGGTGGCCATTTTCATCCTGATGAAGCAAAAACTGAGTGATATCATAACATATAATTTCATATCTGCTGCAAAAGAGTTGTTTCACATGTGCCTAAAAGCTTACTCAAATCAAGGCACTGCAGCCTGATTTACAGCAAGTTGAAATCAAAAGCTTGGTTTTTTTTAAAGCCATCCTGTACTTATTAGTATGGCTGACAATCCAACCCTGGTAAGGCTGCCTCTATCTAGAGGGTATGTCAGCAAAAAAAAAGACCATTGACTTTCAACCCAAATATGTCTCAAAACAAGCATTTTTGCAAAACATTCAATTTGCAAATATGAATATATTTCCAACTGATACTTAAAAAGTAACCAAAATTTGTTGTGCCAAAGCAATACTATCAGCACTTATTGAAAAGAAGTTAGACATTGAGAATGGACAATTAGAGCTCCTACTGGAGGATACACCTGAGTGCTGTCCTTCCTGGTCATCAAGGTCACATCAAACTCCTCTTCCATTTAAATTCATTCTTTGGGCTGGTTATCTTTTGCAGATAGTCTTCAAGAGTTTATTACTAATGAATAGCAGATGAATCAATGAGTATCAATCTAGAGTTCTCTCAATGCTATTACAAATTTCCTTAGGTCTTCTGAAGGTACTGTCTGCTTCAAATATCAAATTTTGTCATAGAATATAATTTACTATTTTGATTTGAAGTAATAGCATTAGGATTTTGGCAGCCTTGTTGACTTCCAAGTAAAAGGAGGCATGCTTCATTCATGGCACATTTTATGAGAAATGACTTAAGCAATCAATACACTTGAAGTTGTTGGTCTTTTTTTCTGCCATATCCTATATATCTCTTATCATGGTAGTTGAACAAAACCTTATAATGTTCTAGCTGACCAATCCCCTATAAATTGTTGTTGAATCTGCAGCAGCAAGCCCAAGCAGAAGAATGTAAGCTGAAATGCACATTATCAACTTGCCTCAAGAGTTTCTTCTTCTCTTTTGTAGAAAGAGATTGAAGGAATTCCATCTCCTTCTTCTCCTCATCTTGTTGTTCAGATTCTGCCCTTTCAGAGGGTACATTCTGCAAAGGCAGCAAAGCATTAGATAAGGTATTAAACAACCAATAATGTTCCATCAATGTCATACCAAGTTGAACTTCATCTTACTTGTGTTGAGGCACAAGGATCTTGAAATTCTCCTATGATTGAAGGCTTAATCTGAAGACCTTTCTCTTCACGGAGCTGTTTCATTAGTTGCAAGGGGTCAGTTTCTGTGATTTGAAGGTGCACATCATCTGGTGCCTTGTTCCACAATGGGCACTCCCGATCTGTTTGTTTTTTTTGTATCAAACAATTATTCAATGCCTTACCATCTATTACTGTCAAGATCTCAAGCAAAAATGATCAACATTACCTGTATTAATGTGTCCCCATTGATGACATTTGATGCAGCGGACATTTCTCACTAAGATCCCAAATGGCTGGTCTCGTACTTCTTGATCTCCTTTGCAGTAACTGAATGGAAGATGATTACAGTCGTAATGATGTTGAAGACATAGACATATCAGGGTCCCAAAATTTCTGAGAATAATGATCAGATGATGATATTATGTTTTCCAGATTAGTCTAAATGATCTAGCTTTATAAAGCATCAAGATATGTTTAGAAAAGGGAGGGTCGCCTAGTTTGTGAATTAATTATTACAATCATAAAAAATGAAACTAATCAAATTTATCTTGCAAATAACTTCCAGTTGTACCACTGAAACCAGGTCATATTTTGTACTGCATCAGGGTGCAACTTGCTATGATAAATCATGTTACAAGAACTCAAAATGAACAATCAAACGTTCACTTCTGAGAATTGGTTTCATTTGCTGCTCTATTGACTTAAGGCTGTCACAATAGTACTTTTCAAAACATCAACCTGAACTATCGATAGTGTATCAAGGCATCGGGGGGGATGCGCCAAAGGATTCAATCTTTTCTTGCCACGATCGGGCAGAGGTTTGTCTTCCATCGTGTCTTGCCTCGATTGGAGCGCAGACCTCTATCCGTCTTCCATAATCTCATGTTTAATCACAAATCAGGGTGTGCAGGGTGTGACCTTCACGATGAGTAATGAAACCTACCATGCCTCCAACTATCAAAGATGACATCCATTCATCGATGGATGCATCAAAACAGCCCTAATTTTTTGAAGTGCCATTGAGAATCAGTTGTCAGCCCATTCATGTAATTTTTCTTCTCTTTTTCTTCATTCTACATGGTCTTCTTTGGAAATTGGCACAGACAGATGAAAACCTGCCAATGGTTCCATAATGGCAGTTGCTGAAACATCAGTACAGCCCTATAATAAGCAACATCCATGTAAGAAATTCACTTTGGGTTTGGGCTCAGGTAGAGGTAAAATGCCCCAGGGCAAATAATAAAAAAAACGTAAGCCTGCATACTAAAGAGAAAGACAGGAATATAAAGGGTGATGAGCCAATGTATGTTTCAAAATCAAGGGAGTATAAGAACAGTTCACTTGTGCAGCATGCAACTGCTGAGATCAAGCCGAAGACTGAAACTGAAGATAAACAAATTCCTGTTCTTCCCTCCCTCTCCTTTCCTGCTTCCTGTCTCCGATCCAACGTTTTTATTTCCCCCTTCCCTTCTTTTATATAGTCAGTCCCAGCAATTCCAGAATTTGATAATGATAAGAAATTGCAAGCCCATGCAAGTCATGCTGCCTCCTCCTTTTCCCGCTTGGACAGACTGTATTGTACTGTACTCACCTCAAGCCAATGGGGCATTTTCCCTTTAAATTCATTTTCCGAAACATCGTGATGATTGAAAATAATCAATATCTCCAATCATCGATAGTGGTATTGATCTATCATGACAGCCCTATTATTGACAGTTACTGTTACTTCTGATAATTAGTGGCATAGCAAGGGGAGGGAGCTTCAGCTCCCCCAAGTTTAGTTCAAGCCCCCCAACTCCAGTCTAAATGCATCTGCCACCTTCCCCCCCCCACCATTCTGCTTAGTGAAACCCTGGCTATGCCACTGTTGATAATGCCAATTTTACAACAAATGAAAAACTATCAATATAGCTATCAATATAATAGCTTTTCATGCTGAATGTTAGAATACAAAGAAAATTAATCCCATTGATTTTCCAACTAGATCTTCTCATCCATTTATCATAACCTTGATTTTGCATTTCTCTGGGAGCCATGAGAAAACATTGATTCAATTAGGTCTACAAAGCCAACAGACAGCACCTTAGTGATATATCATTCCATCAAGAATGTATGAAAAAAAAGACAGAACAAAGGCAATGGAGAGAACTCTAGGAATGCATACACCAAGCACTAAACATAAGAGCTTAGCAAGGTCTATAGGGAGTCCCAAACTATGAGCATCTAATTCACTTCATCATAAATATTAAGTAAATATTACTCATATTTATGTCAGACAGGTGACATGGACTACTACACAAAACCTATACTCAATGTCACTGATGAGCATTATGATTCATGCATTAAAACATTTTAACTGCCAAAACCTATTTTACAATAAAAGAGAATACAACCAGCTGGCACCCCATATGGCAATGAACATTTCATCACCCCTCTCTCACCTTTGTCATCTGCTAATTATTATTTTTAAATCATGCTTCAAGTTTAAAATAAAGTCAGGCAAAAAAAAGCCTGTCCTTTCTTTTATAAAATATTTCAGAAATTTCTTTTTTTCCAAAAGCTTTTCTTCAGTGCACAGTGGGACAAAAGGCCATTTTCCTGGCCAAAATTTAAATTAGCAAAATTTTTTGTATAATTCTTCGTTTACTCCTCAATTACCAAATAACTGAACTTCAGAAAACTGCAATTACTTTAAATAAAGCTGAAGCCTTTTATAGACAGAACCCTGTACACTTAATGAAAGTCTGACTATCCTTCCATGCCCTAATTTCTTCAGGCTAGAAAGAAACCAACTTGTCCCAAGAAGAAATCCGCGATTCACGCCTTTACCCTTTTTGCCTTTTACAAGTAATTTCTTTCATGTTGCATGATATGATACTCTAAGCTACATTAACGGCACAGCACCTATTTATCTCTACACAAATCTTCTATTACTGCTCTGTCATATTTGTTGTGTGCTGCAAAAAAAGGAGATAAGAGTACAATGGAGATTTTGGCATTTCTGGAATCTAATGTTAGTACTTTAGCAGCCACATGAAAACTAGCTGCTACTTTTCGCTACTTTGACAATAGGAGTCAGGTATCATGCAGTATCTACAATGTCTTCTTGATGCGTCCGACTTTCTTTTTACTTGACTTCAATGCATACTAATTAAAAAAGCTAATGTATGGATATTCAAGGCATATGAAGAGTCCTTGACTCAAGTGGATAAGCAATGTGGCATCAGTTGGTGACTCATAATAAATCTGAAATGCATAAAAGTACTTTTCCATTGTTCTGTTGATTATTTTCAGGAATTGCCCAAAATATCGACTTATACAAAGAACACTGTTCCAAAGGATCTCATATCAACTTCTCATCACAAGTTTACAGCATTCTATCTAAAAAAAAAAAAAGGCTTCAGCTTTCTTTAAAGTAATTGCAGTTTTCTGAAGTTCAGTTACTTGGTAGTTGAGGAGTAAACTATCAGAATTATACAAAAAAAATTCTACTTGTTTAATTTTGACCAGGAAAATGGCCTTTTGACCCACTGTGCAGAAAAGAATGGAGCAATTTCTTAATCAATTTATGGAGAATTTTGACTGATATTCAATATTACCAATAATGCTGCAATGGCTCTAAAATAAATTTTTCAATAGAAGGGGGAAGAAAAAAATTCACATAAATCTAGAACATTACACAATGCACTTTGTCTTTACATATTAGGTGAATTTGGCTGAAGAAATGGCACTATCTAAAGATGAACAAGAGGTAGCAGTACAATGTGAATGGTGAAGCAAAAACCACCACCAATCACCTGAGAAATTTAAAACCATCCAAAGAAATCTTTAACCCAGTCCACAGTTCTTAGGGATCTGGGGAACCAACAATCTAGGGACATTCTTTTTTGACATCAGTGTAAATGGTGAAAACTAGTTGACCTTTAGCCATGTTACAGGACTAGCTGACCCCAGCAATGGATGTAATCCAATCAGGATGACCAATGTGGTATCAGCAAAATGGAGCCTCAATACTTCATGCTTTCATTACCCACAATTATGTGCATGAGATCAATACAAAAGATTGGATTGAATGCAAAGGCCCAGGCAAATTGCCACCACACTCAGCAATAACCCATTGAATTTTTTCTGTGAAGTGAAACAAAGGCCCAAGTTTACTTGATACACATTAAGGACATAGAGCACTTGAAGGTTGAAGTAATGCAGGAGTACATGTCTTCAAGCAAGTCTTGAGCTTTGAAGGGTTCATGAACATTCATAAATGTGTGTAAATGTGCCTATGGCTACAGACTACTGGAACATATGTGGATTCCAGTGAGATCCACATATGGCACCATCTACCAACACATAAAGCACACAATGACTCACTCTTCTCTTGGGGCATTGTACTTCCTTTGCCATTCAAATTTATATTCTGGTTCATCATCTTCCTTCTTGCGCTCTTTCACTCCAGCAGGTGGTTCATACATGAAGCCCAGACTCAGCTTATCTTTGGACTCTTTGCTCAACAACATCCTGTCAAGAAAATAAACATAACTTCCATATAAATGCCAGCATTGCTATGGTTCTCAAGTGTCATATTTACAATTGTCCAAGGGTGGGTAAAATTAAAATAGCATAAATGCAGCTGAGTTTCACAAACTTAGGAGAAGCTTACTTTATGGCTGTGATATCAATTTGATAACTTTCACTGGAGAAAATATGATTTCACAACATTAGTTCTATAGGTGCCATGGGCATTGTGTGTTGCCATGGCAGGTACAGGTAAAGTATTGCAATCACTTCTGAGAAGAATAACTCCATAACAGTGCATCCATTTTTCATGAAATACACAGGGTATACATGTCAGGGGATTTAAATCCTTCCAGTAAAAATTTTCTCCACCATATGGAGCTGTATCTGCCTGTATAGTGTGCCATATAAGGAGTGCAACAGCATATGTAAAGTCCTGGCTCCTCAGAATGAACAGCTTCTCCTGAAACTTTTCCACCCTGCAGATAACAACACTACTATAGTACTACGAGACTTCTGCAAGCAAAGAAACCTATGCTGGAGTCCCTGTTGTGTGTCAACTGTTCACAGTCTGGTCCAGAAATTTGAAGAGACTGGAAGTGTCCTTCAGCATCCCAGTCAGGTCAATCAAGCACACCTCTCAAGGTTATAGCTATGGCATCTCCACCCATGCTCAAAGATGCCATTTGACACCATAGCTGCCACTCCCAAGGTCTTGCTACTTTTGGCAGTTTGCAATGTCATAACACATATTGATTCCATTCTCAATCAGGACAGGGTGCATGTTGAACAGTTATAGCTGTATGTAGTACCACCCATTTTGTTTCTACATTCACATCCCCATGACTCTATATGTATACCCTGTAAATTTCATGTCAATTGGATGCTCTTAAATTGAAGAAAATTGAGAATTATTTGCCAAAATAGGTGCAGTGAAACATAAATTTTGCAACAGTCAAAGGATTTATAAACTACTACCAGGTAATCTTGGGAGCAATTAAGTCACACCCAAAAAAAATTCAAACAAACCCAAGAGAATTACAATTAATCATCTCTACCTCATAGTAAGAACCAATCACTTCTTCCTATGGGGTATACTCAAATCATGAAAAAATTATTAAAAATACTATTGTACAACATAGCATAAAGAGAGCAGAAAAAGGATAGCAAAAAATTTTAATTTGTCTATGACAAATTTTGCTATGGAAAAAGTATTAAAGTGAAGACTTAATAAGACCTAATAATGGCTATAGTTCAATTGTAACTATAGCAAGATACTAGAATTCCTGAAATTCCAATGGTAAATTTAAAAATTACCATCTGAGTGGCCAATCACTCACTGGCCTCAATGATTTAGCACCTAAAAATAAAAGAATTTAGCAATGAAAACAGCTGTTATATTTATTCCAATCCAGAGAAACCCAGATAAACCCACCTTTAGATTATCTGAGAGACTTTAAACTAAACCCTTTATACATTCATTGTGCAAAAAAACAGCACCACCAAGAAGACTAACCCTTTCAAATAAATTTTGTACAAAAGCTCACAGTAATATGTCATGAAATTCATGTGAATTGCACATGGATGCACAATGAATAATCACAGAGTAAACTTCACATATAATCAATACAATACGTAGTCACTTACCATATTAGAATTTATCAGAACTTACTTCCATGATTGTTACAATTTTCATCATCAGATTAAGGACAGGTTCTTTTATTCTTTATTCTTTTATTTGTTTCAGATGCATTCCTAGTCATAATGAATAAGCACTACAAAGAGCGCACCATATTTCTAACTTTGTGTAGATGGAGAAAATTTCTTTGTTTTATGTTAAATTCCTAGTTCCAGCAATTCTGGCAACATTTTAACCCATTGAGGCTTGAGTTTGGCTTTTCAATGTTTGATGAGAGGGGTACATTACTGCCCTTTCCAAGGAAGGTTACTCATATTCTGTGACCATAGATGCAAGGACAAATATCATGTGGTCAAGTGCAAACCACCCTTACAATATATGATACACCATATTCAATGAGTCATATCAATCCTTGAAGATACAGATAAAATTAATCCATGACATTTGAAACTGTACATTTATGGTTGTACTTAAAACAGGATAATGTACAACTAGAAACATTTCATTTTATTTCTAGGCCTGTATTATATACCCCAAGAGGAAACATTTTAACACTCACTTATTATTATACAGCTCCTGCTCTTTCTCATACTGAAGGCGTAATTCATCTTGCTTTCTACGATAGTTGTCTGCTTTCTGTTCTGCCATCCACACCTGAAAAGAGAAATTGGGTTTGACAGTTGTTTCTTCCAAGTAGGTCCAAGCATACTTGCTAAGCTTAACTAGGACAGTCATGAAGTGATCCTTCAAATTATATGTGGTAACATTACATAGACTTAGTACACTGGACTATCCTGCCACAGATTGTTACAAGTTTTATTAGCATGGTGATAGCTAGTGAACATTTTTTTTAGTCATTGGTGAAATCTGTCTATATGATTGAGCCACTCCTTTGGATACATGAGCTAAAAAAAATCACCCCATCTCCTGGCATGCATCAGGCAACTACACTTATACTGAGGGGTGTAGCACCATTGGTGTTTAAGCTTCTAGTGGTAGGTAACCAACAGTCATTGTTACAAGCATTTTTTTCCCTCTAGGATTGTAGGAGCTGCACCCTCACTGCCTTCATGCACATGCCACCACAGCATCATAAGCAAAATACCATGGACTTCTATGGTCAACAAACATCATCTAAGCATAGACTTATATTTCAATAGATAGTGGCTGTATTTAGGGCTTCCCTAGATTCAATTATATCCAGGACAGTATAACTACCAATCCCTTCCACTTGCTATTCTTTGGGAACAAGAGCTGCAGCATGATGGCTTATAACTTGTGTGTCAGTCTGCGGGGCCAACCACAGCTGGGAACATGTCCCATCAATTGGCTTTAAAGAGGTGCAATTCACTTTTTTTTCTAACCTGGAACCTCAAAAATTCCTGTAAAGACTTCTTCCAACATCTTCAAATAATTACTTTCCACCCTTAGCTCTCATCTCTTTCTCATCTCTTGAACAATGCTCATACCTGAAAATTGACTGGAATACTTTTTTTGTTTCATGGATATATATACTCATGCACTCTGCACAGCAAGACATACATCACATGCATAAAAATAAATATACACTAGCATGGGGCTTGTCATTTTATGATCATGTTCTACTAGCTGTTGGCTCTCTTTCTAAACCTTCTTTCTCCAAACACATCAAATATTGTCCTGCTTCTGACCCTCTCTACTCACTCTCAATTTTCCAAAATGAAGTGGGACTTGTCCAAAGCTTAACTGGTGCAAGTGATAAGAATTGAAGTGATGTGTAAATTCATGGTTCATAGTACATAAAAAAAAAAAATTGGTCCAAGTCACCTCTTGCATGGCTGAGTTCTTGTGAAGTTGTTTACATAATCACCTCTGGATTCCACATGCCCAGTGAGAGAGATATATTAAATTCAAATTTAATCAATCTAAACACTGACTTCCATCCCTGCCCTCACTCTCAATTTTTTTTATTCACATCGACTGAGTTTTAAGCAGTTGGGAAACACAATTTTTGGAAATTGTATGAACAAGGACCACATAGGAACAGGCCCCTGAAAGAGCCAGGCATGCAAGGGGAGATCTGTTCAGGGTGTAAGAACGTCCTAGGCCGCCATAGATAAAGCCACAAGTAATAAACTTCAGGCTAACGTGTTAGAGATGAAGAAAAGCAATTTGAAAAACACTCTCAGCCTAAGACTGTAACTGTTAGTCTTTTTGCTGTATCGGGTCACGAGCCAAGTGAAAAACTCACCCGTTTAAGGTTATCCCTGGATGAAGGATGAAAGAATTTCTTGCACATGTAGTTGTTGAAGCCCTTCCCCATGTTTCCTTCTTTTTGTGAATGGGGATTTTATAAGAATGCTGAACCAGACAGAAGTCGTCTACACTGTAAACCTATCAACTAGAGAGCTGAGCCTTTCGCCATCGTTGAGGGCAGACAATCGAACATCTGGAGGACGCAATTTCTCAAGAAGCGTGTCGACTGCAGCACTAGAGACTCAGAAGCAGCTCCGTGCGAGTGCGTTCACGTTACGGCATCATGACGGTTGTGCGCCAGAGGAGTGACGCTGCATCTGGCAACCGTGGCAGATGGTACGCATGCAAAAATGCTTTCATCCTTCACAACCTCATGAACCGTACTCAGTACCCTTCACTTGAAGCTTTTTTGTTTCAACACTTCCTTATCTTCGCACTATTGACGATACCAGTTTTCGTGAAATTTTCCTCGCAAATGAGAATTATTTCTAGTATTCTCATAATATTTATTTTTCTTTCAACTTCTCTTGGAATAAACCCTTAAGAGTCCAATTAAAGGGTGGGGAAAATGCCGTATGAAAAATCCACTTCACACAAACTCTAAAAATATTCATGAGCAAATAAAGCAGACCCTCGCCGTTCGCGGGGGTTACGTTCTTGAAAAACCCCGGGAACGGTAAAACCGCGATGCGCGAAGTTAAGACCTCATGGGGAAAATGGGATTAGGGGAACCAACGCTTGATGGTCCTGAAATAAAGACACAGGATAATTCATATGTATAATTAATGATTAATAAATATAAAAGCATTAGTGTTCGTATTCATTGGGATAACGCCGGCGTTCCTGGCTGAGTTGTCAGGGTACGAACGACGTAGAATGCATTACTTAGGGAAGAAGGAGGTGATTTTCGGTTGCTTTGCCTTCTTCTGCATGCCCTTATACACGTCCTTGTATGGTGCCATGACAGCCTCCATCTCGCGCTTAAATTGCCTGCACAAGAGCGAACGCAAAAGAGCGAGTGACCTACGCCGCGATGCACAAATGTTACCACAATAATTTCTCCGCGAATAAGCAAAACCGCGATGTGAAAACCCGCGAACGAGGCGGGTCTGCTGTATTTGTTTATGAAAATATTTCAATCAGAAACAGCATCGGATTGGAGTACCTTCAGCCCGTCTCGATGATCCGGGATTGACTTTCATGGATCGTCGGAGTGACATTTCATTTTTCAATATCCTAACTTTAGTTGAGGTCTGGTTAGCACGATCAGCAGCGACTGAGTTCAGGAACGGGAAACGCCTAGTGCCACATGCTCGGGAACCGGGAGAAATGGGAGTATGAAAATACCTATTTCCATAGAAAGTCAAGGACTAAAAGAAATCGTAAACGACCAATGTTTTCTTATCGTGCTCGTTTCATAAACCCGATTACTTTTACCCAGGCATGCCGATTCGACATCGCTACGCAGACTTACCTAATGAATTTTAACTCTGTAACTACCAGGTCTTGGATGGTCAGATGTTGAACTCTTTGTTTCATCTCTTCATTCTCAAAGAATCTCTTCAACATACTTTGCCTAATTACTATCACGTCTTCATGAAAATACACGAGGATCGGACTTGACAAGTTTACGGTGCAGCCTTCACAAATAGCTAAATTTTTAAATCAGGGTCCATTGGACCCAGATCGGTAATTGCAGGTTAGTGAGGGGCCAAAATTTTGAAATTCCCTAGTGTAAATTTCCTAAACGCACGTTACTGACACTATATTACTTGTCCTCCATATGAAACTGACAAGGAAAATAGCGTCTTAATCTAGTCATGCCTGGCATTTTATAATGTAGGACGGCATGCAGAGATGCGAATTCGTATGTACTGTATATTCCGTTATTTTATCAGTTGGGATCAGTTGTGATATGTTTCCCTGATATAACTACGAAGCTAACAGACGAGTAAAACAGATGGTTTACGTCAATTTCAGTGGCCTGACATTGCATGGCATTCTGAGTACTGTAGAATGGAATGAGTTGACCCCAGGGGGTTGAGATGAATCCAAAAACCAAAATAGATTCAAGTACCGGTGTACTCGAAGGTGATATCCAACCGTTAACTGATGAGGTATCCATCAACATCTTCCCCTCCAATAACGCCTGTAAAGACGTGACTGCCGAGGACTCTGGGGACGAATGTCACTGAAACCTTGAATAATCTTGGAAGCAGTGGCGTATTTTACGGGGGGAGCAGCCCCCCTCCCTTGGCGCCCCTGAGACAAAGGCTGGAGCCCCCTTCGAGGTAGTAATTTCCCCACCTGATATCGCTCGAGTGAGGTTTGGCGCCCCCGCTCTGTTGTCCTGCCCCCTGACCCTTCAGCCAAAATACACCACTGCTTGGAAGTCAACTAAGAGCTGAGGCTGAGGTTTCGGATTTTGAAGACACTAACGAAAAAAAGTGATGCGTCGCGTTTATCCCAGCGATGGAACCTTCCTCTCGTGGAGCTGCCCAGCGCCCGAGGAAGATGAGAAAGCAGTACTTTTTTGTGGACTGAAGACAAATCTGACTCCTGTTCGTGGGGACTGGCCACCTCTGTTTACCGTGCCTAACGAGCAGAGCAGTGAATTTCATGGATTACTTTGATGAAGTGGTCACGATGCACGTAACACAAACTAACAAGTACGCAGCACTGAAGAACCGTCTAGGTGATGTAATTCCGATGGTAATGCAAGGAAGGTTCCTTGGAATTTTGCTCCTCAGTGGTTATGTACCCTTACCCTGCAAAATGTTTGGGGAAGGCGCAAAGGACGCTAACAACGATCGGGTGGCCACTTCCAGACTAGAAACAGATTTGAGTTTATTTTGTCAAACCTGCATGCCCACGGCAATCTTAACCTAGACAAGGCTGACAACTCTGGCAAAGTCCGTCCTTTGTTCGATGCATTGAATCCACATCAAGAGTACCGCGGCATCGATGAAGGCATGGTTTCATACTACGGTAGGAGTTTATCAGAGGAAAACCCATCCAGTATGGCTTCAAGATATGGGTTGGGCCACATGTCGCAGCTACTTTGGATGGAGTTAAATCAAGGGTCCAATAATGTCATCCATCCAATCTACAAAGAACTTGGACTTGGAGTCAGTGTGGTTCTCCAGTATGCTAGTATTCTGAGAAACCAGGGTCCTTTCACATATCACATTTTTTCGACAACTTCTCCTTGCTTCAGGAATAGTCTCCGAGAGGAATCAAGGCTACCGGCACTACACGGGATAACCGAGTAACGAAATGCCCTCTACCCGACAGTAACGCTTTGAGGAAAACACCGTGAGGAACGTACGACCACCCCAAGTAGCCATGGGTGATCCAAAGCTCGTCCATGGACAGTCCAGTTGTCCAGAGATGGATATAAGTTCAGAAGGGGTCATCCTTTGAATGTACCTAGGATATCATCGCCATGGATCGATATCTTCTCATGCATTCTCAGCTTAATCCGAGCAGAATTTCCCTACATCGAACATTCAATTATTTCCATTTATCGAATGACGGTTTTAAGGAATGGCGTTACGAGCATCCGATCACGGGATTTTTGGAGTTCTTTTTTTTTTCTTCAAATCTCTAATTTCAATCATTACGAGTCCTTGAGTGTATGTCCAACTTGATTTATTTTGGTTCAAAACTGCTACTTGGCGCTAGAATCTACGTACGTAGAATATACGTAGAATCTACGTATGTACGAGGGATGTTTACAAAGTTCTGGGAATTTTGTTCTATCACTGCAACGGCTGATCAAAGCCTACCGCAAAGTTGGTCCCACATGCTTAGGCTTGTCATAAACACGACTGCAAAATAATATTCACTGGGCATGCGTCAATAAGAAGTTGTCAGTAGTCAGTCATGGAAGACGCGGTAAATTCTCAAAGAGCTATCATTTTCTTTTTATGCAAGGAAGGTGTTAGGACGTCTGAAATTATTCAACGTTTGAAAGCTGTTTTTGGTGAATCTTCTGAATCTAAAAGTACCGTCTATCGTTGGATCGATCGCTTTAAGAGTGGAAGAACGAGCCTTGAAGATGACCCCCGCAGTGGTCGACCAAACACTGCTGTTAACGAAGAAAATATCGTCGCTGTGGAGAAAATGTTAATGGAAGACAGACGAATCACCATTAGCGAGATTGCAGCAAGTGCATGCATCAGTTCCAGAATAGTTGATGAAGTTTTACACGACCGTCTTGGAATGAGCAAGGTTTCTGCACGATGGGTACCGCGGTTGTTGGGGTCAGAACAGAAACTCGATCGTGTGGAGGTTTGTTCCGAGTTGTTGGCTCTACAGGAACGATATGGGGATAGTTTCTGGCAAACGAATCATCACGATAGATGAGACCTGGATACCTTACTTTAATCCACAAACAAAAATTCAGTCCATGGAACGGCGACGACCTTCTGATGGCCCTCCGCTTAAAGCAAGGACTATGCCATCAGTTGGTAAGGTTATGATAACGGTGGTTTGGGATTGCCAGGGAATAATCATGATTGATTATCTACAAAAAAGGTTCCACAATAAATGCACAATATTATTCTGATTTGATGAAGAGACCACTGCGTGAGGTACTCGAGAAAAAGCGGCCAGGAAAGCTCCATTCCCGACCATTACTGCAGCAAGACAATGCAAGGCCGCATACTGCTCGTCTTACGAACCCATTCGGCACAACAACGTTGTATCAACATTGAGAATAGGTTGAAACGTTGAGACTTGGTTGAAGTTGAGAATTCGACGAAAAATCAACATCAGTGAAACTTTTCCCATTTACAGCATAGGGGAAGGTATAGGAATTCCTAGATAGACATGTTTAAGGAGGTAATCAGGCAGAAGGAGACCGAAATTACTTCTGGCTAATGGGTCCGAAAAGACACGCTCAATTTTCCTAAATCTCCACATGGCACGCGCCCTTACTCAGACTCATCCATGATGGATAGAGTATAAAAACCATGCCCGCGAGGTTGTTTCCCTCTACTGGACCGAGAGGTACTTGAGTCATGCAAGTACTCAATGTGAATTCTCATTCAGTAGAGGAAATAAAACTCTGAGGGTCCTTTACGTGGGGATGATTGTACTCGGTAGAGTACTGCTAGTATCATACCTTTTGGGAACCATCTATGGAGTTATCGAGTCCGTATTCAATTTCATCCGCCAATCAATGCTCATTCAGACCCTGGAATAGGGAGGAGGTACTATAATGCCCTTACGTTGAAAATTCAACGTTGAGCTGTGTTTCATTTCAACATTGTGGCAACATCATGGCAACATG